CTTCTGAGCATACCATGCGAGACGAATAACGCCATCGTCCCGTTTTCCCCTACCGTCTCACGACTCGCCCACCGACACGCCGCTCGCGCGTCGTCGTGTGTGGCGTCGAGCGGGCGCCCTCGCCGGCCGCCACGCTCCCCCCTAGCGCTGCCTCGCAGGCAGCGCCGAGCCTCGCGGGCACGTAGCCCCGCTCGGCGGTCTCGGCACGGCTTCCGCCGTCGCCTCGACTCGTACTGTCAGCCAGGCAGAGCCAGCCAACGCGCAGGCGCTGCCTTCGCGCCCTCGGCACGGCGGCTCGACGCCCCTCCGCCGGGCCTCGGGCACGTGAACGCAGCCTCGCGGCTGCGGCGGCGGCAGCCAAGCTGCTCGCCTCGACATGGCTCGGGCCGGCGCCATCGTGGCCGCCGCCATCGCCATCGTCCCGTTTTCCACCTACCGTCTCACGATTCGCCCACCGACACGCTGCTCGCGCGTCGTCGTGTGTGGCGTCGAGCGGGCGCCCTCGCCAGCCGCCACGCTCCCCCTAGCGCTGCCTCGCAGGCAGCGCCGCGCCTCGCGGGCACGTAGCCTCGCTCGGCGCCCTCAGCACGGCCTCCGCCGTCGCCTCGACTCATACCGTCTGTTAGGCAGAGCCAGCCAACGCGCAGGCGCTGCCCTCGCGCCCTCGGCACGGCGGCTCGACGCCCCTCCGCCGGGCCTCGGGCACGCGAACCCAGCCTCGCGGCTGCGGCGGCGGCAGCCAGGCTGCTCGCTTCGACATGGCTCGGGCCAGCACCAGCGTGGCCGCCGCCATCGCCACCGTTCCGTATTTCGCACCGTCTCACGACTCGCCCACCGACACGCTGCTCACGCGTCGTCGTGTGTTGCGTCGAGCGGGCGCCCTCGCCGGCCGCCACGCTCCCCCCTAGCGCTGCCTCGCAGGCAGCGCCGAGCCTCGCGGGCGCGTAGCCCCGTTCGGCGCTCTCAGCACGGCTTCCGCCGTCGCCTCGACTCGTACCGTCTGTTAGGCAGAGCCAGCCAACGCGCAGGCGCTGCCTTCGCGCCCTCGGCACGGCGGCTCGACGCCGCCCCTGCTGGGCTTCGGGCACGCGAACGCAGCCTCGCGGCTGCGGCGGCGGCAGCCAAGCTGCTCGCCTCGACATGGCTCGGGCCGGCACCAGCGTGGCCGCCGCCATCCGCCATCATCCCGTTTTCCACCTACCGTCTCACGATTCGCCCGCCGACACGCTGCTCACGCGTCGTCGTGTGTGGCGTCGAGCGGGCGCCCTCGCCGGCCGCCACGCTCCCCCCTAGCGCTGCCTCGCAGGCAGCGCCGAGCCTCGCGGGCACGTAGCCCCGCTCGGCGCTCTCGGCACGGCTTCCGCCGTCGCCCCGACTCGTACCGTCCGTTAGGCAGAGCCAGCCAACGCGCAGGCGCTGCCCTCGCGCCCTCGGCACGGCGGCTCGACGCCCCTGCCGGGCCTCGGGCACGCGAACGCAGCCTCGCGGCTGCGGCGGCGGCAGCCAAGCTGCTCGCTTCGACATGGCTCGGGCCGGCGCCATCGTGGCCGCCGCCATCGCCAT